TAAATTATTGAGTGCTTTTACAAAGACTGTTTTGTATATGTGAGTATGAATATATATTTCTCCTTTACATTTCAGAAATAGCAGCATAGGGTACACTTTTACAATGTATTTTTCCCTTCATTGGAGATGTCTTTATATTAATATTAGAGGTAATTGACTTGCAGATTTGTGATATATTGTAGGATGATCCCCAAAGTGAAAACTAAATTTTTGCACAGAATATGCACCTTTGTTGTTTCCTTTGCCATTCAATCTCAAATTTCAAAAATTGCTACTTTCTGATAAAATATTAATATTCTTTCATATAAATAATTTATTAGTAATGAAATCATGAATGCCTAATACATGACTCTTATTTTAACCTGATAGAAGTTTTGTCAATAAATGCAAAATATTTCTGGCTTATTTTATATATGAATGGGTGCCATACCCTGAATATTGAAGAGAAAATTTGTCTACAGAAAGTAGCTAATGTTAGCAAAATGTAACTAAGCATGCACATACTGACTTGTAATCAGTAGGGCACATCATTGCATTGTAATTTTTCCTCTGGTAGTGGTAGATTTGTACTTACATAATTTCACGCTTGACTTTAAGTAAAAAATTTGCCAAGTTATTTATTCAACAAGTATTTATTGATTAACCATGAAGCACATATAAATGAGATGTACAAGATAATTTCTGCCTTCCAGAAGCTCAGAGAAGCTGGTGACAGACATAAGACAAGTATTTATAGAATATTTAAATAAGTGTAAGGAAGTTGCTTGCATTAGCATATATTAGCTCCTTTTCATTCCTATTGCTACTAACCTTAATCAAGCTTTTTTTCATCTAATCTAGACTGCTGGGTTAGATTCCTATCTGGCCCCTACATTTAATAATCTCCCACTCCTAACCACTGTACATATCGAGCTGCCATATGAGACAATAGCTCCAGGAATTTCACTCTTGTGATAAAAAAATAAATAAAATAAACTCTCATGGCATTAAACATCATCCTGATTGTAGTTTATATTCATACTCTACTTTTTTCCCCCCGAAAACATGCTACAGTCAATTTATTTTCTTTTCCTCATGTTGTTTTCTTTTCAAGGAACATTCAATTGCTCTTTTTAGAATTATATCATCATACAAAGATGGTCTTAAATACTATTTTCATATGTGATATAATTTGTACAAAAAGTGTGTGTGTACACAAGATCACATTTGTCATGGTTACCAGGAAAATATTATATTGTAATTTACACTCTCACACACTCTTTCTTTCATTCTTTCTTACTTTTGCCTCTGTTAGACTAAGATCTTTGACTAAAACTTGCACTCTACTAGTTTTCCTTTCCATTCTAGAACTAAATATATTTTACATAGAAAGTTCTCTTTGAATATTTATGTAATCAAATTGAATTTATATAAATCAAATGCTGTAGAAAAAAGGAGTAAATTTCATTGAATAAACTGTCCTAGGAAGATTTTTTTGGAAAAGTCCTTTCAATATGAGGAAGAAAATGTGACAAAGAATTTATGATAAAAATCTATAGGAATGAGACACGTAAAACAAAACAACTGTCACAAAAAGCAGTTACTCTGAGTTTCATAGAGTCTTGTTTTCAACAATTATAAGATATAATTAGCATGCAGAAGAAAAAAGAGAGCTATAGCATTTACATCAGTGTGATAATAAAGCAAGACTTAATGACACTAAGAAAACATTAAAAATTAAAAATACACCAACTACTGCTTTCCAAACAGATACCAAAATATTTTTTTTCCCCAGTAAATTTTGGGCTAAATTAAGTTGGAGATCTGCAGTGATATAAAGGTGCCCTTTAAAATTTCATAAATAATTATTTCAAGTAAAAATCTTAATTATAATAATTCTTACCATTACGAATGACCAGAATTTCAAGAATTACTGTCTCCTAATGTAATGATAATTTTAAAAATCAAACATTTATTTTATTTGTATTATAATTTCTTTTATATCTGTTCCTGCATAGTTGGATAACCTTTGTAGGTGTCTACAGGACTTGAATGAGTGACAGCATATACTACATTTCTATTTTATTTCCCTTTTTCCTCCTTCTTTCTAGGAAACTCTATAATTTCTGTATATAATTATTTAAAATTAAAGATATGTGAATAGGAAATAAAGTTTCTTACACAAATTCCAATTCATATCATTTTTTTTCATTGTTACTAATAAGAAAATGTAAAATGGTTTAATGATTTTTCAAAAATTGAACAGAATTTTTTTTTTTTTTTTTTTTTTTGAGTTGGAGTCTCACTCGGTCGCCAAGACTAGAGTGCAGTGGCCGCTCCCGGCCACCGTAGCCTCGACCTGCTGGGCTCCAGCGATCCTTCCGCCTCAGCCTTCCGAGTAGCCAGAATTACAGGCATGCACTACCACGCCCGGCTGATTTTTTGATTTATTGTAGAGATGAGGTCTCGCTGCCCAGGCAGGTCTCGAACCCGCCGGTTCAGGCAATGCACTCACCTCAGCCTCCCAAAGGCGGGGGATTACAGGCTGAGCCACCGATCCCGGCTGAACAGAAATTTTAATTAAATACTATCGCAACCATAATATTAACTCTGGCTAAATTGTCCAGAAATTTAAGTTTCATTACTATCTTCCCAACAAAAAAAATTCATAAGCAACATTTTGAACAGTGTGTAGCTCAATGTTCTAGTTAAAAGGAAATGCCCTTTTATTAGAATAATTTAATATTAAATTATATTTCCTGCCTTCTTTTTATATTCAGAATGCTAAAATGAAAATGTCAAAAGGTGTGGCAGACAGAAGAAAAATACCCCCCAAATTAGCCATGTTCTAATTCTTGGAATCTGTGAATATGTTATTTACATGGCAACAGAGACTTTGCAGACATGATTAAGATTATGGACACTGAGATGGGGAGATTTTCCTAGGTTACCCATGAAAGTCCAATCTAAGCCAAAGAATGCCTGCAGTCTCTAGAATCTACAAAAAGCAAGAAAATAGATCTCCCTAAGAGCCTCCAGAAAAGAATGTAAACCTATCAACACCTTAATTTTATGTCGTTTAGTAACACCCATGTTAGGCTTTAAACTATAAAATGTCTGTGTTAAGACAATACATTTGTCGTAATTTTTACAGTAGGAACAAGAAATTACTACACTAGGCATATGGGAGAATTGAAAATACGTTTCAGCAATTTATTAATATTTATCAAAAAGCAAATAAGCATTATTAGTTGTCAAAAAATGAAGTTTCCATAAGGAATTCCTTTTTTTGTTTAAGAACCAATTTGGAATGCAAAAACTGATATATGTAAAAAAAAAAAAAAAATCCACTGTAATATCCTAGACAATTATACCACTTTTTGACTTCATTAACAGATTATTTACCTCTGAGCCTGAATATATGAACAGAACACTCCTTAAAACAATCTTTTATAGAAATGTGTTTGTTGCTTCCCTAGTACTTAGAGCATGTCAGATGTAAAGTAGGCACTCAGTAAATATTTGTTGAATGAATAAAAGGAATAATATAAGATTGAAGAATCATTAGAAATAATCTGACAATTACTATTTGCATTTGTAGAATTCTAGAAGGTGTCATATTTTTAAAAAACATTAAGAATAATTGTTCCTGTAGGGAAATATTTTCCTGTAGGGAAATACAGAACAATAAAGTAAACGCTACTGTGAAATCAAAAGAGCCTCAATGTGCCTTTGAAATATGATCCAGTTTCAAACAGACATCACAATAAAGATTATGAAATAAAGATCCAACAACAGAAAATGTTATGATGATGCAATGCAATGTTAAATTGGCAGATAAGTTTTTAAATTAATTTATCCACATAATTTATAATGACAATACAATCATCCCACATACTGATTGTAATTAGTAAAACACTAAAAACAGAAAAAATACAAGAGCAGCTATTTTAAATAAGAAATAATCCTCTTGTTTTTTGAATGATCCTTGTCTCTGTTCAAAGCTTTAACATTTTAAGATTATGAATTTTGTTAAAAAATAAACAAAATATGGTAAAAACATAAGGCAAACTGGTGGTAAAAAAATTAAATGCCCCATTTAAAAAAAAGAATAAACCAAAGCAATTTAGCAATCTAATTTAAGAAATAAGGTCTCTAATTCCACTTTTATAATTCTATCTTGGATAAATAATTTTTAATGAAAAACTAGATTTATGAAAAATGAACATAACAATTTTTAGTATAAGATTTATGTCTAACTTAAATAACTAAAAAAGATCACATATATCAAATCATGCACTAAAAGAAATGTAACATGAAAGAAGATCAGTGTAACAAATTAAACTTAGTATGTTTTAATTATATAAAAAATGCATAGTAAAAAACTGGAAAGCAATAGCCAAAATATTATCTATAATTTGTAGTATTGTAGATTATTTGAATCTTTTGCTATGTTTTTACAGTCTTCCAAATTTTCAGTACTAAAGTTAATATTAACTGTAATCAGAAAAAGCAGTTTATAATGAAAAATAAAAGTTCTAATGTGAACAATCACTTCTTAATTATTCATCATTTCATATATTGTAATTGTATATATTCCATGAAAGCCTCTGAAATAATGGGGTGTTTCAGATCAAAACAAAGGATTTTTCCAAGTAGCACCAAATTACATTTTAGGTTTGATCTGAGGAACAAAATCACCTTAAATAATGAAAGTCTATACTAGCTATGTTGAAACTGAGTGCTGGGGATAAGTTACAGACATATATTTTATAGGAAAAAAGGCCTATTATTTTTGATAACTTACAAGATTTTTTTTTTTTCTACACAATCACTAAGGTTATCTGTAGAGTATTGGGTACCTGATTTTTTATTAGTAGTAATCAAACCTACCTTTGCAGGATCTTAGAACATAAATTTCATAACTCTGCAGATATATTCTAATAATATGGATAATTATTTATCTTTTATAACACTGTAGGTCAAATAAAAAACAATATATTGGTGGAATTACTACTTACTGTGGTGGCACAATGAATATCTTTCCATACTGTGGCTTCTCTGGAGAGATCAGAGACTTCAAACAAATTATCAAGAATCACTTCCCCAATCATGTCATGTCTAGAAAATCTGTCAAAATCATATACACTGAAATGTAGTTTTCGGTTGCTGAGTTGATCGTATGCTACAGGAAACTGAAAAGTTTCATCAAATAGAGGATTTAAAGTCTTTCTGTGCACACGTGTCTGAAATTTCTTTTTCCTATCTGGAAGAAGATACATCTTCACATAAGGGTCAGAAGTTCCTGTAAAGTCTTTAGCAGGGAGATCTAAGGCTTTAATAATTTTAACAACTAAAAGTTCATTTTCATAATCATACTGGAGGGCAAAGTTAAGTTTCCCACAGGTTTTGACATCTTCTTTTGTGTTGCCCTCGGAGTCAACTGATTTCTGTTTGTAGAGTTCTGGTTTTATCCTCCCAATGCTGGTTGTTGTTTCTCCTCTTTGTAAAACAGGTTCTGTGCCCATGCTAAAATCAACACTGGAAACCTGCATTTGCCTTGGTAGGTGTCTTCTAAAGGAATTGTGGCTGTACACACACACATACACACAAAATCATTTAGGTAGATCATTTTGATGAGAATGTTATACAGTGGTATATAAACTCTACCCCACCCCCAGAATAATAAAATATATCTATATCTACACAGATAGATACATACCACATATAATCAAAGAGCTACTCCTGAAAAAGAAAAGGATGCAGTATTCAAAAAAAAAAAAGGCTCATATAATTCTAGAACAACGTGAAACACACAAATGTTCATATTTATGAGCTTTTGGAATTTTGTACTCCCAATCATAAGCACATAATTAAAGACAATTATAAGGAATATGATTATTAACAAAGTCCAATAGTCCACAAAAAGTTATGAATATTACCAATCATCTGGGTATATCTTGATATAAATATTATATAGAAAAATTCTTCAGATGTCTGAGTTTTTAGAATTTGGATAGTTGGGTCTCATGAATTTCATGTTTTAGTGACTACAGTATTAAAATAAAAATACAATAAGTCCACATATTCTTACAATGTGTTAATTACTTTTTTCTTTCTTTTTATTTTTAGAGACAGGGTCTTACTCTGTCATCCAAGCTGGAGGGCAGTGACATGATCCTAGCTCATTGCAGGCTCAAACATTTCTGGGCTCAGGTGATACTCCCACTGTAGCCTCTCTAATAGCTAGGAGTACAGGAATGTGCCACTACACCTGGCTAATTTTAAAAAAAATTTTGTAGAGGTGGGGTCTTGTTGTGTTGCCCAGACTGAATTCAAACTCGTGACCTCAAGCAGTGATCCTCCCACTTGAGTCTTCCAAAGTACTGGGATTACTGGCATGAGCCACCAAGCTTAGCATTTATTTCTATAGCTTAGATAAATAAGTGAATATTTATTTCTAAAATGTACAGGTGTGACAGCCAAAATAAATACATTTCCAGTTTTTGCAACAAGAAGTGGGCTTCAGATACTTTAACTGAGAATGTAGAATTTTAGAATTGGGGCCAACCTAACAGTTTTAAAATTCAAACTGAATTTCATATAGTCACAGTTACTATCCATCTAGTCAACATTTCCAGAATATGTTTACTAAAGTCTTCTAAATGTGATTTGCATTAAAATCTGTTTCTTTTATACTTCCGCATATGAGCTATGCCAACGTACATGTCTCCTCAAGGTTTAGTCCCATTTCTTTTGTTCTGTCTGTTCTCAGTCTGTCCATCAGACCAATCATCAGTTCTTTGGACTATAATTACTGTCTTGAATCTGATGATTTCCCCAGACAAGTCCTAGCTATATAAACTTCTACTTCCACATATCTAAATCTTCAAGGAAGATTTCTAAACAGATGTCTTAATTTCACTCAAAACTCAAGCAAGCTTATCATATTCTCTCTTCTATTCTTAAACCAGCTCTCTCTCCCATAATCTCTGACAATACTGTTAACATATCAATCAGTCACTTGTGCTTGAAAAGATGCAGCATGCTTTGAATCACTTCCCCCTTATCCATGAGATTTACTTAGTTTCCTAAATCCGGCTGCTGTTTCTTTTAAAACATCTCATACAATTATCCATTCCAGTCCACTGCCATTGCTATGAGGTCCACCTTCTTATCACCATGTACTCTGCTTTCTCTAGGTGTCTTCAGCTGGCTTTCCTTCTTCCAACTCTCTCTTACACTTAATATCTGGTCAGCATGCCATCCGTTTTTATACAGATTCACTTCAAAATCCTTTACTCACTTCCATTGTCTATTACAGCAAGTCTACTTGTTATAGTGTTAAGTAATATGAAGGACATTGCTTAATTAATACTACATTCACTAATGCTCACATGGAGATTAATGTCTTAAAGAAGAATTTTAAAAAATATCGACCACCCAGAAGTTAGATACCTAGGCACCATACTATTTGAGAAGTAGTTGCAGGAGCTGAGAGGATGTTGAACCTAGAAAAGAGAAGTCGCAGCAGGGGCAAAGGGCAAAGGGCAAAGACGGATTGAGGCTAGCTGTCTTCTAATGCCTGAAGTACTGTCATGACAGAATAAGAATTAATGGTTACAGGTCGATAGACTTTAGCTTAATCTAAAGAAACATTAAGAAAAAAAAAAATCTAGAACTATCCCAACATGCTGAAGCAGTAAAATTCCCCACACTAGAACTGTTAGATGTTGAAAAAAAGATATCTGCCTCAGGTGAGATTTTTGCCTCAACTCTAGCATCTCACCTGCAGAAAGCATTATGAGTTTTCTAACCCTACATTTCTGTGATTCTTTGTCATTCTGTGGCTCTTTGATAACCTTATGAGTCTAAATATTCATGATATAGCATCATCATTATGTGGTATTAATAAAATGGAACTTGCTAAAATAAGAATTACAATCTGAGGTGTTGCCAAGTTCATTCTCTTATATTTAATTAACTTATTTTCTACAACTGGACAGAAATCGAACAAGAATTCACATAATGCCATTAAAAATGCTAGGGCTGTATGGAAACTAATCTTATCTCTCTACATAATCAGTTTTTATAGACAAGGAAATGCTGTGGGAGTATCAGCAACTCTGCCTGTTACTACTGTATTATTTACAGACTTCTCAAAAATTTTTTTAAAAGAAACTATGACTCAGTACCTATGCTGCAAATGAAGATAAAAGATTGAGAATGGGAAAGTGGTGGAATGGTGCTGTAGGTGAAAGTACACTGCAGCAATTTTAAAACCGGAATCAAAGCATGTAGCGTGTGGTCACAGAGAACTATATGGATGAAAAGAAAAGGCTTACAGAAAAATGATATTCCAGTATCTGATGAGTGCTTGAGAATTAATGAGAATTAAAATGGAAAAAAATACAATGACAATTTACAATAAGATAAACAAAAGAAACATAAATAAATATATACTACAACGTTGTTACAATAAAACATTAGTGTGCCCTTGCTCTTCAGATTTTGCCAGTAAAAGCTAACATAATGAATGCCCATGGTATGGCAGGTATACGTGTAAATTCTGTATCAACTCACTTTAGGCTCATGGATAGAAACTATTATGTTATCTATTTTACAAATGAGGACACTGAGGCACATAGAGAGGTGAGGTAACTTATTCAAAGTCACACAGCTAGGCAGGTGCTAACATTAAAATCTAATGGAGAAAGCCTGGGTCTAGTGGCCAGACCCTCAACCACAATGTTGTAGCTATATCCACAGTTATACTGTTTGGTTATATTATTTCAAAAATTAATCAATCTAAGTTACCATATAAAATGTCAAAATATTTATATATGCTTCTATAAAACTTTTTATATTTAAATAACATAATTATGTAATCCACTAAGATACAAAATGTATTTGGGTGAAATAGCTTGATATGTTTTTAGAAACGTTTTTAGTTTCCTTGACTAGTTATGAAGAATTGAAAGGGAGCAAGTATGTTTATAATTTGTAAATAAAATTCTTATCAAGGTTATATTTATAGTATATTGCATAAGAAGTGACATATATTTTGCAAATAATAGTAGCAAAGTATATCGTATATTCAAAAATGATTACGTTAAAATTTGAGTATAATTGAAAAAGTATTTCTACATAGAGGAACATACTTAGACTACTTTATTTCAGATGAGAGAATTAGCTCCTAATTAGAACTGTACTTAATTCAAGACCCCAAATTTTAGTTTCATATCTAAGTGAGTATATATGTAAAAGTCTAAATTAAATTTTGAAATGATCTGTTTCTTCAGATTTCTCCCATTTTAATGCATTGAGTGTGACATGAAATATATTTTGACCCTGACTCTATCTCAGTTATAAAGAAGCCAAAGCTTAAATTAGGGTCAGGAAAGATCAGAGAGAATTTATGAAAATGAAAAGAATTTCAAAAAATACAAACGGTATATGTAGTTGTAAAATATTAAAGGGGTCTAATATAACCCAGTTTGCATATACAATGTTCCTAAGATATTCAGGATACTTAATTGAGTAATTAAATATTCCTGTTAAAATTATTTTACTTAAGCAAGAAGCTTTTGTTTTTGTGAGCAAAACCCCTAAAAAATTAATTCTTATTTTTTATAAATTTATTCAATAATTTCATATTTATGCTTTTCAGTGTAATAAAACTTCAATCTTCTATTCTCTCCCCTCAGTTATTAATTTCTTCTTTATGCCTCTGCATATAATTTGTTCAGCTATAAAGCCTCTTCTAACAGGAATCAAAGAGTAGTAACGTCTTTGTTCTAGTAAGTCAATGTCCTAATTATAGGGTAGATATTGCATCTTCGAAGTCACAGTTTAGCTAGTCAGTTCAGAAAAGCTTTAATTATTACAATGTCAAACTATTGCCACGACAACACAGATCTTCTTTTTCTTCTTGTTTTTTTTTTCTCTTTTAGAATGATAGTGATTAGTGGCTGTAAAGTCTCACAATATATCCAACCAATCACAGTACAAGCCATTTGACTGTTACTAGTCCTATTCTTATCCTTCAAACCTAAGAGGGCACCATCCAAGTACTCTCCCAGAGAAGGAAAAACTTTCTCTACTTTATCCTGAGGATAGCTAGATGTAGTCAATGTTACTTGATAATACAGGAATATAATATGTTAATGTAGTGATTTTCAGATATTTATTGCCAATAGATCCTTTTCTTCCAACAAAATCTGAGGCCAGAAATTGAATATATAAAGATAGAGGTGCTCTGATTGACATGTGGGCAGAGTACTGGAAACTCACGGGAAAATGAGCCTGTTTTTTTTCCCACCTCTCAGAAGAAAGTGTTTAAAGATTCTTAACATAGAGATGAGGTGGAAAAAGTTCTGGACAGGAATCAGACTGTAGTTTGCTCCCAGGTTCTCTGCATAGTGAGGGCACCTTTAGGGAAGTTACTTAACTTCTTAGAACTTTATTTTCCTCATTTGTAAAATAGTCCTTTCGTAGTTTTTGGAAAAATTAAATGAGATATTACATATGGCTTTGAAAACTGATTTTTTTCATATTGATATTATTAGAATTAAAAACACAAGGAGTTG